TTATGGAGAACAGTGTTCCAACCCAGGAAAAGTATGACATAGTAAAAATATTACTTCCAAGAATAAATGGATACTGGCTTATCAGCATTTACTATTATGTTGGTAATCATAGACCAGATAGTATAAGAATCTAATCTTTCTTCAGTATTATAAAGGTTCCAAGTTACCAGTTTACTGGGCTCTATGGACAAAACAATTTTTTTTCATATAAAACTGAAAGTACAAATTCTGTTTCTATCTCCTTTAACAACATGGCATCAGAGAATTTTACTTTTCAGCAAAGGAGAGTCAGGATTAGAACACAGTACAGAGGACTTCATGACCATATCACCCTTTTTAAGCTCAGAAATAAATTATTTTGATAATTTATTATAAAATTATAGAAACTCATTCTCTATGTTTGAAGACTAAAGTAGCCAAAGAATAGACTGTAATGATTTAAATAAAGACCTGTTTAAAGTTATGGCAATAGCCTAGAAGCCTTTAAAATTATCCTTCATTTTATGGTGGTATTACTTCAAAATCACCAGAAAATTGGGCATATTTTTAATGTATGGATGGTAACTGTGAATTGGCAGTACCGAGCAAGTTTTAAACAGGGGTCAAATCTAATTACAAGATATAAGAACAAGCGTTTCTAATTCCATTTTGCATTTTTTGTTAGTATATAGATTTCAAGTTTTAAATTTTCTAATGACTAAAGTTACTTCTTTTTACAGAAGACTTAGAAAATTTGCAATATTTTAATTGGTTCAGATTAAAGACTCTTGGAAGCTTGAAGAAAAAAGTCTTTCCAGATGAGCAAGAGGTTGGATAAATGTAATGACATATGGTTTGTTTTTTATAGCTACAATATGTGAAAAATAGTAGCATAACACATATATTCAATGATATACATGTATTTATACATATAAATATATATTCCACTTGTAAAATTATGAGATAAGATTCTTTTGTACAAATGTGATTTTGTTTACTTTCTCTTTCTTGTTCCCTTTATGAATAAAATAGCAAATGAAACTTAGAACAGTTTTAAACATCTCATTATTTCAGTGATCTAGTAAAAGATAAAATCCAAATCTGTACTCATACTGTGAGCAGGGCTGACTACCAGTGTCTCAGAGCCTCAGGGTGGGAAGGCGATCCACTCACTGATCTTTTTACCCCACCCTCATAGACTTCTTCAGAATCATCCAGAGGGATGGGTCGTGAACTGGTTTTTCGGTATCTCTCAGGAAGGACATTTCCCATATCCTCTGACAAACTTGTAAAAATTTCCCCCAGAATTCCTTCCTTTATTGCCTCTGGATTCCTGACCCTATCACATCACTCTAGAGATGTGAAAAGCATCTGATTATTACATTTTATGCACTCAAATTTTAAATTCTCAAAGGTTGTTGTTAAAGACACTCATCTTTTTTTTTTTTTTCTCTCTCTCTCTCTTCAATGCTAAAAAACCAAAACAAAATAAAACTCAATTAACCTAAACTTTTTTCTCAAGGCTATGTTTAATTTTTTCTTTTTCATTTTTAATGATCTTTTAAGGACTCACACATATTTTCATAAGACTCTCTTTATAAAGACCAGTGTTCCAACATAGGGAAAATGTGAGCTAGATAATAAGATTACCTTCAGGAATAAGAAAAAGATCTCAAACTCATCAGGAATGCTTCACAGGTCATGACAAAAGTCTTGGAGGCCCTGGGTGGCACAGTCAGTTAACGTGAGTTAACGTGAGTGGCTTCATAGTGTAAGGTTGGAGATCTGAGTCCACCCAAAGGACTGGCAATCTACTTCTGAAAACTCAGCCATTGAAAACCCTATGGAGCCCAGCTCTATTCACATACACATGGGGTCACCATGAGTTGGAACTGACTTGACAAGAACTAGTATTTGAGTTTTTTTGAGCAGAGTGATGGACTATAGGTGAAGCTAGAGAAAGAACTTGGGATAGTCACTTCAGAACTAATAGTAAACAAGTTGAGGAAGGTGTTTTAGAAGTGAGATATTGGGAAACTGTATTTATTGAGATTCCAGGTGCTGTCAAGGACTTCACATGAATCAGTTTCCAAGTTCCTTTCTTAGGACTGCTTCAAAACAGGGAGCATCTGAAATGGAAAAAGAGAGAGAGATGCAAATAAACAGCTACTTACAAGCTTCTTGCTGTTGTTAAGTGCCATGGAGTCAGCACCAACTCATTGTGACCCTGTATAGTTTCCTAGGGAGGGCTGGTAGGTTTGAACCAGCAACCTGTGGTTTGCAGTTCAGTGCCTATCCTTCAGAGCCATGCCAAGCAAAGGGAAAAAATAGAACAGTTTGTTAGGAACAATGAAAAACAGAGTGAATATATTCATGAATATTGAGTCCACAGGAGGGATCATTTACTCATGTATTAAACTAATCCCCACTTCTAAGCCATTATTGTGTTTGTTAAACGTTACCAAAGACTGACTTGAGACATGTCAGCTTTCTCTACCCTTTTGCCCCCTCTGGTGGAAGTGTTAAGTATTAGCCCTCAGGTCAAAACTCCGGCAGCACAATGAGGAGGTGAAGAAAACGAAATGGATGTGCTTTTCAAACTTTAATGCATGTACACATTGCCTAGGGATCTTGATAATATTCAGATTCTGATTCAGTAGGTTGGAGCACAGGCCTGAGATTCTGCATTTCTAATGAGCTCCCACATGTTGCCTGTCTTGTTGCTACATGTTGATAGCAATAATAATTACCAGCACAAGCAAGACTGACTGATGTCTCCCAATTTGACAAGGAATTGATCTATAGCCTTTAAGTAGCTCTACATTCAACAAAGAGCAGGCCCAACTCACAAAGTGAAGAGTTTAAGTTCATTTGAGATGTTTTCCTAGTTATCTCAATGATTCACTTCCGTGCAAATCACCAGTTATGTCATACAGTTGCTTATACTGGAACATTGCAATCCAGTTAGGAAACGATGTGCTGATTCTGGCACTGGGAATCATTAGTCTAGACATTTCATGAACCTTCTCATATTACAAAAGAGGAGACTGAGGCAAGAAGAGATTGTGTGACTTGAACAAGGTCACAGGGCAAGTTGATACCAGTAAGACGTAATTTCAATCTCCTGATATTAGTCCTTATACTGTCTAAATCAATATCCATGTTTTCTGTTTCTCAGAAGTGGCTTGAATAATTTCTGCTAAGTCCTATATAACTTCTATTGGAGTCCTCATGTGGCGCTGTGTTGTAGGATAAGCACTGGACCGCAAGGTTAGTTTGAACCATAAGGTCGCCAGTTCAAACTCAGCAGCCGCAACCACTCCTTGAAAACCCTATACAGGGTCACTATGAGTCGCTATAAGTCCATGGCACTTAACAACACCAGCATTAAATCCATAATTGGATTCATGGAAGCAGCAGTCAAGAAGTCAAATGACATTTGCATTAGGCAGATCTACTGCAAAGAACCTCTTTAAAGATATCACTTTGAGGATTAAGGTGTGTCATGATATTTTCAATCACCTCATATGCATGTGTGAGCTGAACAATAAATAAGGAAGACCAGGGAGAAATTGATGCATATAAAGTATGTATGGTGTTGGTGAAGAATATCGAAAGTACCATGGGATGCCAGAAGAACAAATACATCTGTCTTGGAAGAAGTACAGGAAGAACGCTCCTTAGAAGACAGGATGGCCAGATTTCTTCTCAAGTTCTTTGGATATATTAACAGAAGGGACCAGTCCCTGGAAAAGGACATCAGGTTTGGTACAGTAGAGGGTCATGGAAAAAGAGAAAGACCCCAAAGCAATGGATTGACACAATGGCTGCAACAATGATCTCAAAGCTAACAACAATTGAGATGATGGTGTAGAACTAGGCAATGTTTCGTTCTGTTGTTCACAGGATCGTTAAAAATTAGAGCCAACTTGACTGCACCGAGCAACATGTGGCAGCTAACAAGGGGCAGAAAAGAGAGCAGTAAACATCTCAATTGAACAGTTTTCCTCATATCTTGTTCTTCTGTAATTTAGTGTCTTACTTTCTTTTACAGAATCCTGGTAGCATAATGGATTACACATTGGGCTGTTAGGCACAGGTCAGCAGTTCGAATCCACCAGCCACTCCATGGGAGAAAGATGAGACTTTCTGCCTCTGTAAAGATTTACAGTCTCAGAAACCCTATACAGAGTCTCTATGAGTGGAAACCAAGTGGATGTCACATAGCAGCAGTGGCAGAAAAGTTGGCTTTTAGGTATCAATGAAAAGAAAAAGAAGTACAGCCAGGATGGTTTCTAAGGCTTGTCTCTCATACCTGGAATATGAATCCTTGGAGAAGGGCATCATGCTTCGTAAAATGGAGGGTTAGCGAAAAACAGGAAGACCCTCAAGGAACTGGATTGACACAGTGTCAGCAGCATTGGGCTCAAATGTAACACTAATTGGGAGGATGGCGCAGAACCCGGCAGTATTTCGTTCTGTTGTGCATAGGGTCACTCTAAGATGGAACCAACTTGATGGTACATAACAACAACAAAACCCGAAACATTCGACTTAGTCTTACTAGCATCAACGTATTGGATGTTTAACTCTCATTGTACTTTATCCTTTATACCTGAATTTATTATTAAAACAAGATACATTAGGTTTTAATTGATAGTCTTTAAAACTTTCCATTAAAATAATGTAAATGAATTCCATAGTAGAAGGAGAAGATTCTTAATAAGTATACATTGACTGAATGCTTTGATAGATTTTTCATTATTATATTCAAATAAGAAACACATCATGGATAAGTAGCAAACCAATAGACTTTAATAAGACCCACTGATGAGACTGTACTCAAATGATTTTAGTCGTGGTCCACGTCATTTCAACATCAAAATTCACTTTAGGGCACTTAAGTGATTTTCATGCCTGACAGAGTGGAAGGTGAATTTCCAAAGTGCCCTCTTCATTCTCAGCAAAAAAAGGCACGAAAGTAAATAAAAAGTTTCCGTATCTCTTTACGCACATAAGTGTAAAATGCAGATGAGCAAAGTGAGTGGGCGTGTGAAATCGTTTGTAACAAAAACCCATTATTTACAGATGAGAAATTTATATTGTCAGCGTAATATCTGTGAGGCTAAGCACAGCTGTAGAGTATATAAAAGCAGTGCGCTTTTTGTGCAGAATACAGAGCTCAGGACAGAGAGCACTTCCAAAGTTCAGAAAGAGTTCTCTCTTTCTCTACCTGCTCTGTTTCACAGCACAGTATCTAAAGGTAAGATTAATATTGGGTAATTGTATGACTGTGGATCCTGCTTTTGGTACAGTTAAATATTCTTAAGGGAGCAAAGTATTATGACTTCAAATGCTATTCTTTCATTTTATACCATAGTATTAATAACTCATGGGGCAGAATTGAAATTAAAAGTGATATAAAATGCATTTCCATCTTCTTCAATACAGTGAAGTTCCAAAATGTGACAGAGAAATGATTCAACACAAAGAAAAGGAAACAAATATTCAAATCAATATACTTGTTATGAAATTTAACTGTTATGAGAACTGTATGTCAAAATAGGAATATTTTGAAAAGTAAATCTTGTTTTCCCTTCAATTTAATAGAAGGATATACTACTTCAAATAGAAGACATCTTTTAAAATCAGCAAATAAGGGTCTATTAGAGACACTATAACAGCAGTGGCTGTTTGCTAATTAAAACCGCTGGTTTTCTAACAGACCAAATTCAAATCTTTAAAATATTCTAATTTCTGATAGCAATAAAAAAATCAAAGCCCATGAAATTAGCTATTTGTAAATAAGACAACATACATGGTACAGAAATGAATACCATCTATTATTTTGGATGAGCAGAAGAAATTATTGTTGATTGATGGCCAATAACAATGATCAAAACCTAAAAAAGTCTACATTCTAACATACGATTTTAGTAAATATCTTTGTTGTTGCTGTTGTTAAGTGCTGTTGAGTTGGTTCCAACTCATAGTAATCCTGTATAGGGTCTCCAAGGAGCATCTGGTGAGTTTGAACTGCCAACCTTGTGGTTTAGAGTCCAGTGCTGATCCTACAGTGCCACATCAGGGGGGAAAAATTAGATGATCTAAAACATCTATTTAAGTTTCTAAAACAAAGGCCTGTTTCACAGAAATCTTTCATGGAATGAATGACTAAGTGCTGTGTACTTCCATAGTTTTCTAGCAGAGAAAATAAGCTAACCAGTTTTAAAAATACCTATTTGTCTGTGTTTAGACCTATAATATCTCTTTCCCTGGACTAAGATGAATCTTTCTAAAAGATCCCCTACACAGGAAAAACTATTGCTACCATATTGTGCTTTTAAATTTGAATTGAAAAACATGGTTCTTTCCAAACCACAGTTTCTCTCCTTAGGCCACCTGATGAGGGGAAAAGAACTTTGAAATTATTTTCTCTTTAAATACACCTTTGATACTATAATAACATAAATATTTATTTTCTCAGTATCCAAACTTGACTCCATTCTTAAATTTTCACAGTTCCATAGACTTTTACAAAATGAGTAATGACATTTAAAAGAAACATGTTTTAAAATCTCATTTTCAGAAACAAATTCGGTGGTTCAAACCGACCTGTGGTCAAGTGCTTATCCTTCAACACCACACCAGGACTCCTTTGGGGTCTTGAGTGGAGGAAATTATTTAGAACTAAATTGACAGCTTTCAGCCTTTTATAGAAAGACCAACTTGCTCGAAATTTTTTTTTTTTTTAATCCTGAAAGCATGAGTATTATAATTGAGAATTATCATCAGAAGATGCTACCTAAATAAATGTATGGCAACATTCCCAACACTGAAAGTATAACAAAATGCCAAATCACTAAGTGAATGTTGATGAATGAAGAAGGTAAATATATAATTTCTTTCACATTGCTTTGTCTAATGGGCCTCTCAATCTTAAAAAGACAGGCTTTCAAAGAAAAATTTGACTGTTGCAGGTAATATAGTCTCCAAGTTTTAGTGCCAGAAACAGATAGTAAATATGGCTAAGATGTTAAGGAAAAGATTGATAGTTTTAAATGATAATATTTGTAAAATCCTTATTTCAAACCAAATGTCATTTGCTAAAAATACTCTTTCAAATTATTTATGGATAAGCATAATCTAACTTGGATTGAAATCCCTACTTCTCAGAGTAAGCAATATTGGATTTGAAAGTAACAGAGAGTAGCCCATGACAAATACTGGAGTTGAGGCTTCCATTCAGAAAATAGAGGTGCTAACTCTACAGGGACTTTGCCCACATTCATGTTGGCCTCTGTGTATACCGCATGCCACGTCCTGGGCATACATTTGCTTGTGATACTAGGTGTACCACACAACCAGTTCTAGTGTGTCACTAGCAACAAATGACATATCCTGGACTAAGTCCAATTATAAAACAACCTGGGGACTTCCAAGACTTCAGAAGCAAGCACTGATTTTCTTTATGACAGTAATCTCTTAGTTTTCTAGTTGTGATTGTTCAAGTTGCCAGAAGCATTAGTTCTCGTTGTAAATTGCTTGTCTTTAAAATGATTTTTTTCCCCTTTAATTTAGAACAGGTCAAAGCACCCTAAAATACCTCAAATCTGTTGGCCGCTTTATAATTACAAAGTCTAGACCAAGTTACACTATTTAAAATATAAATGAATAATACATCTGAACCGACAGCTGGTATGCCAAGTTGTAGCCTGAGGCTGCTTTAAGATGGTTGAAATGCAGTATAATGTAAATGCTTGGAAGTGAAGGACTATTAATTGAAAGCCAGACTGATAGTTGGGGAGGGAGGGGTAGCGTTATGGATAAGGTGCCATTCAGACTAACCATATGTAGCATATCATCTACAGGGGATATTTTAAAGGTCTATCGTGGTCATTTTCAATTTCATTTCTGGAAATAAGCCTTCTAATCATTGACAGAAGTGTCCTACATTAATGAAAAATGATAGAACACATCTTTTGTGTCCCGTTTTACTTACAAAAAATCTAAGGAAAATTATAATCCACAATTTGAAATTTAATTGGAAATATAATCAGAATAAACTGATAAAACTGGCTTTTTCTTTCTATTTAGAATATGTACTTAGTTAAAATCAAGACTAATTTAGCCTGACATGTTTAAATATGATTGTCTGCTTCTGTTCCCCTCTCCCCCTGTTTTCTGATAGGAAGCAAAAATGAGAAGCTTTTATGTTGTGGCTGGATTGTTCGTAATGCTGGTACAAGGCAGTTGGCAACATTCCCTTCAAGATACAGAGGAGAAAGCCAGGTAGTAAATCCTTAGATCTGAACTTAATCTAAGATTAATGTCTGTAAAAACTGTGATTCTTAAGTAGGGTCTCAGTAATTTAAAGTAAATAATCTTTGCACAAAATTTACATGCTTAAAGTACCACAGTGATCAAGACAGGCTTTTCTGGAGTATAGATAAAAGTATGTATTGTTTGGTAACTAAAGAGTTGGGAAATGCTACAGGGGAGAGTGTAGCTTTTTGAATTCTTCAGATTATCCTATCTATTCATTCATTATTTACACACTGCATAGATTATTTTAATGATTCACACCAACTCTTTTCTCTTTATTTCTTTATTTAAAAAACCACATTGTTTCTTGCTAATTGTAAAAGTCATACATGTTCATGTATTCACACATGCTCACATGAAAAATTTGCAAAAGTGTCTTAAATATGCAAAATTCTATTATCCAGAGAAAACCAATCATCTTAAAAATTATGTATCTTAGTTTCATGTGATTTATATATTCTGTATAGAAATATTTCTCAACATAATACAGCTTGGCATCATGCTTTTTCTCTTAACAGTGCTAATTTTTCCGATATCATTAAAAGTATCTGCTAAATGTATAATATTCAATGGTTGCATATTAATCCATATAAAAATATACAATAATTATAAGAAAGTTTTCCTTCTGTGTTGGACATTTAAAAGGTCTGCAATTTTCCTGACTACAAATAACGTTGAAAATAACATTTGAGATGAGATTTTGTGCATTCAGGGTGGTCTGACCACATATAACATTTGCTGTATGTACTTTTCCTACATTTCTGCCTACGTTCTGGGGGTAGAGCTCTAGTAATAGAATCACTTACTATGTCAAAGAGTTTAAATGAGTTTCAACCTTTTATAATATTGTGCAAATAAACTTTCCAGAAAAATCACTTACACACAGTCCATCACAGTGTCCTTACCAGTATTTAATCTCTGCTAACCCGGCAGGCAAAAATGGCATCTCATTGTTGTTTTTGATTTCTATTTCTGAATATTAATCATACTGATTTTTCCTCATATATTTACCATGCAACCAACTGTTGATTACTGCCATGTGGATTATCTACTAAGCAATTTTAAATTAGCAAGTGCATGTTTTCCTGCCTTTGCTTGGACTTTTTAAAGTCTTTCTTCTACCATTAACTACCATATTATGAGGTAATTGAGCTATGTTTTTGTATTAATATATGCAAAACCCCAACCATAAATCTGCTGCCCAAACTAATAATTTGAAACTCTTTACTCTTAAAATATTCAAGTCAATGCTCTCTTCTGCCATTATTAGCATAATCATGAGCAGATTAATTAGTTGAAAAAAAATGCTTAATCCTATTTCAGAAAGAAAATGTCAGTTTAATAATTTGTTACTAGAATTCAGAATAGGAGTATACCCAACTATAATAAAACAATAAGATTCCAATGGAAAGCTTAGGGCTCTTTACAGTCTATACTGATAGGGGCCTTCATTAGTACTTTGTCCCCTGAAGTGAAGATGATCCTCAAGAGAGTTTACAGATTTTGTTACTGCACCAATCACTATTCTTCACAGATCAGTCTCAGCTTCCCAGACAGACCCACTCAATGATCCAGATCAGATGGTTGAAGACAAGCGCCATTCACAGGGAACATTCACCAGTGACTACAGCAAGTACTTGGACTCCAGACGTGCTCAGGACTTTGTGCAATGGTTGATGAACACCAAGAGAAACAAGTAAGACTTCAGAACCTCATCTGGAATTTGCATGCAGATATATTACCGAAATATATCTTAAATCTCTCAGACTTTTGTAAGTGAACACACTCAACAAAAATAGTGTCCCTAAACTCTTTCAATTTAGATGCTTCCCAAGGTTGCTGATAATATCCTTTGTATTAAGTCTCTGAATGCCCTCTCTATTTCTCATGACTTCAATCCCTTAGCTACCTGCACTTCTTTATGACATAGACCTTAAATTGTTTTCCCAACTGTGGTCTTAGCAACATCTACTCTCGTATTCATTTACCTTTGAAACTAACTTTAGTGGATCATGCAGAGTTAGAAATGAAATTTCTGGTCAAAAGAGAGAGCAAATTGACATTCCCTTGTAGGGATCAAACCCACGACTGTGCACACATTACAACTATGCCTAGCTAAGCTAATCATGGCAAGGAATAGAAACAAATGCATTCCTTTTCTTGTCGAATGCAAACCAAGATATGCATTTCAAATTACAGCCTAACTGCACAGTATAAAGAGAGACGGCAAAGAACACAGGCCTATATAGTACGGCATACATTTTAATGTTGGATTTTCTTTGACGAGTGTTGGGGTTTTGCTGCATCTCGGCTATTGGAGGAAATCATCTGCAAGGGTTTCACAGAAATGGTGGAATTTCACAATTTCTTTGGAGAGTGGCCCACAAGAGGAAGGGAGTTCTGCATACAGAGTAGCTAAAGGAATAAAAAATTCAGGAAAAGGACATGGATTTGTGTGGATAGAATGAAGAGGGAAGGGGAGGAGAGAGAGAGAGGAAATCACGGACAAGCAAGAGGAATAGGAGAGACAGAGTTGCAACTAATGTTCTAAAAGTCTAGGGTACGTTCAATTGCAGGAAAGACGGCAGGATAGTCTGAACAGACATTGAAAGAAACTCTGATAAGAATGACAGGTGAGGCCATCAGTGAAATGTGAGAAACCACAAATTTCTAAAAATGAAAAAGACTATTTTCCATAAAGTGAATGCCACAAAGGTTCGCATTAGTGTATTACTAGCCTTGATCTCGGAGTTCTGGTGTGGTGCTGTGGGTTAATGGGCTGGACTGCAAAATTGATTTGAACCACAAGGTCAGAAGGTCAAGCTTACCAGACACTCCTTGGAAACCCTATCAGACTGGCTATGCATCAGAACTGACTCGGTGGCACTTAACAACTACCATATCCTTGTTCACAGATTATTCTGTGTGCAAACTTTCCAGTGCTAATCTATGCCAGAGTTAGCTTTTTTCACCACTAATTGATCACACAATTCCCTTAATCTACTATCATGTGGTCCTTTTGATAACAGTTTAAGATGCTCCCTTGCTTCTCTGACCTTGCTTCTACAATTTACTCCGGCCAATGTTTATTACTAACAAACACCTCCCTTGTTGGAGAATAGTACTGTACAATGGCAAGTCTATTTATCTACTGAGACTGGTATAACTAACTAATGGGCACAGAAAACAGAGGTAGTGAAGATGCGTACCCTGAGAAGAGGCTTTTGTCCCTCCCTAATTATTAGGCCTTTCCCATCAATTTTCTTTCCTTAAAAAAAAAAAAAAAATTCTCCACTTACAGAAATATCCTTTGATGGTCCCCATCAATTTTCAGTCCAGACAATTAATGTAGCTTTAAGATTAATCCCCAGACACCCACTCTCCCAAATTTTCTCTAAGCCCCTCCTACATAGAATCCCAAACTTAAAGCTGCCACTGCTTATAGGTGAGAACCATATTGCCAGAGAGACAGATCTTCAATTTAACGTTCACATTTCTTTCAGGAATAACATTGCCAAACGTCATGATAAATTTGAGAGACATGCTGAAGGGACCTTTACCAGTGATGTAAGTTCTTATTTGGAAGGCCAAGCTGCCAAGGAATTCATTGCTTGGCTGGTGAAAGGCCGAGGAAGGCGAGAGTAAGTCTGTACATCCTTATTTGACATTATTTTTATCCTTGATGGTGAAAATTTAAGTCTATAGTTATCTATATATGGATCTGGATTAGGGAAGCTATTAGTATAGTCTCTTAAAATTAGGAAAATAATTCTGATTGGTGGGAGACAGTATACAAAAGTATAGTCTGTTTTTATATTTGATAGGAAGCAGATTACATTTTTATCTCTCATTATGGTTATATTAAATTGAGAGTATTAGTTTGTCATCTGAACCAGGAGGACCCTTTTGAGAGTAAGTAGGGAACTTTTGATAATGACAGAGGTACAAGCTTAAGCTAGGACTGTCCCAAGGAAACTAGGGATTAACAAAAAAAAGATGACATAATCCCCAAAACAAAGTTTGACGTTAGATGTTTGTATAAATGATCAACATGTAAAATTGTGATGAATACTGAGAGCAAACAAGCACAAGATGTTGAGGAAAATGACTCTCAAAGTAGAGTGTCTGTATATTGAACCAAATGCTCAACATTTTCTGTAACTGTTATATAAATATCCATGAAATAGCCCAAGTTGAAAATAAAATTAAGGTCTATCTGATTTTCTTATGGTCTTTTTTTATTGACATTTTAAATATGAGGGACAGAAAACGTGTTGAATGCTGATTTTTTAACACGATTTAAGAAAAGTTTACTGAGACTTAAAGAGATCTCAAGACAAAAAGGAAATACTACTGTTGTTTGTTTATTAATGTACCAGCCATTGAACTTGCAAAGTTGCTTACACTTGAAGGCATTTTTCCTGTATTGAAAGGGATACCAAAAATTCTGATATGGGAAACTGATGAAATAGAAACTCTAATAAAGACTAAGTTTCCCTTCATACTTCAGTTTGTAAAATTGTTCTGAAAATCACAGGTTTTACAATTATATATGCTTTATTAAATTTCAAGAAAATTAATAGTCTCTCCAATATTTTCTGTGTTGCCAATATACTAAAAATTGTGAAGCAGCCTGAAATATTGAAAAGGGCATACAGGTTTAATTTCAGATCCCATCTCTACTTCTTCTTGTTGTTAAAGTACCAACCAGTCAGTTCTTAGACATAGCGACCCTGTATAGATTCCCAAGGAGTGACTGGTAAGTTTTAAGCCCCAAATTTACACTTAGCAGTCCAGTGCTTATCCTACAGCGTCACATCAGGGCTTTTTACTATTTACAAACTGAAATTTTTTCTTTCAGTTCATACTGGTTTCTATGAGATTTTTCGTAGTCTGACTTCAGTAAATAAGAACCCATTGTTTTCCCAGTGAATTTTGTGTGCATTAGCAGTGAGAGGCAATCACTAAGTACTTATTTTAATTTTTAAATTTTCATTCTGTTCCTTAGTTTCCCAGAAGAAGTCGCCATCGTTGAAGAACTCCGCCGCAGACATGCGGATGGATCTTTCTCTGATGAGATGAACACAGTGCTTGATAATCTTGCCACTCGAGATTTTATAAACTGGTTGCTTCAGACGAAAATTACTGACAGGTAACTGCATTCAGCCCTTCACAACAACAACAACCGTAACAACTGAATTCCAGTCAATTCTGAAAACCATGAAAAGTTTCTTAATATTTGTTGTCATATTGCTACAGGTTGTTCTCCATGTGGGGGAGAGTTTTTACTTTCATTATATAGTAAAAAATATGTGTGTTTAAATCATTTGAGAGTACATTATTATATTCGTTTGGGACCACTGCAGTTTTATTCATTCACTCATTGATTCCAAAAACAGTTACTGAATATCTGTAAGGGACGAGACACTAGAACAGATATGAATAAAACATGGAGTGTGTTAAGTCATTCACATATTAATATTACATTACAAATTGTTATATATGTTGACATTTTAGCACAAAGATAAAATGCCAAACTATATGGCATCATATACTTAATGCAATAGGCATAATAGTAAAAATCGAAACACTACAACATATAATGTAGCCAATTATCTTGAAGGATGTTATTGCTTTTTCTAATTATTCATAATTGTATATTTTTTGTGGGGAGGTATTAGGATAAATCATCTTTGAATGCAAGTATGCAAAGTCCAAACGGCAGGTACTTATAAGATAAAGGGAATACTAGATAGCTTTTATCAAAATAAATCATTGAAACGATTCCTAATTATGTTAACATTATCATCTGTGTATAAAAGCTATGCTAAATCATTCTCTCATTCTCTCTTTTTAATCTCTAGGAAATAAATTATGTCACCATTCAAGACCAGCTTCATAACATCACTTGCCAGCCACTTGGAATGTTTGAAAATTTAAGTTCTGTAAATTTAAGACATGTATTCTGAAGCCATATACTTTGCATGCCAACAAATGAATTTTCTTTTAGTGTTCTGTAGCCACAAGATTGTAAATGGAATAAACTATTGTGGAAAGATTGCTAAAATATCACCTTTAAAATTTGAAAATGCTGTATTATCTTATTTTTGATGAAGTCCTCCAACCTATTCACAGTTAGCAATGAAATCAATTTTCTATATCAATTTGTATATGTTAATTGTTCTTATCACAATGTATCTGCATGCTAATATAGAAGAGAAAGGCTGGCATCCACAGTGCTGAAACTGGAAAGAAAACTTCCTTCTTGAAACTGTTGTCATAAAAAGGCTCAACTGTCAATAAATCAAAGATAGATAGACTTAAATACAATTTTCAAGCTTCTTTACCATTGTTTGTTTTTTCTATGTCTCTCTTCTTAATGCCGCTACAGCTTCCAAACCTTTCTTCTTCTAAACTGTTAGCCCACAAGACATAGACACGGCTACATGCTTTGACTGGTTGCAGTGAACTTTAACATATTGATCCAACATTGAAAATCAGGGTATTGTATATCAAAAATACTGATTTTTGGCTTCTCTTGAAAAGTTGACTCATCAGATAACATTAGACCTAAAAGGCAAGTGTCCCTTGGAGCCGAGTAGCCACTGCTTCTTTCTGGAGTCTCATGTTCGGCAGCTCACAGCAGTGCCACCACACAGACACAAATACAAACAGGTACACACACATGCACACACGCAAACTTCAAATAATGTACACTTGGGAACTTATCCTTGGCCTACTTTATGTATATCCATTACAATCTGGAGGAGTCCTGGTGTGTCACTACACTGCAAGGTCCATTTGAATCTCAAGGTCAGTGATTCAAACACACCAGCCACTCCTCAGAAACTTATTCAGGGTTACTATGAGTCAGAACTAACTCAATGGCACTTAACAACAACAACAAATCATGGCCTGGCACTTGAAGATATTTGGGTTTGCACCTGCTCTATAATGCCTATAGCTTGAGCTAGTCTGGTGCTGAACACCGTATCTGAGACTTTTGTTTCTCATATAAAGACTTGCACTATAGCTCTGTGTTGTTGTAAGTACTGTTGAGTCAGTTCCACCTCATGGAAACTCTATATTGGATTCCTTGAGGAGTGACTGGTGGGTTTGAACCACTGACTTTGAGGAAGGCAGTTCAGTGCTTATCCAACAGCACCACATCAGGACTCAAAGAGCTCATGTAAGTTAGAAGCTCTCTCAAGAACTCACATGAACCGAATCCATGACATGCCACCACCACAGAGCTTACATCAGTTACCTGCCAATAAGGTTTGAAAATTACTTAACACTTTGGTGTTATTGTTGCTAAGTGTCAAAAGTTGGTTCCCACTCATAGAAACCCTGTATAGGGTTTCCAAGGAGCTGCTGGTGTCAAACTTGTGCTTAACAGTCCAGTGCTTATGGAAGCGAACTTGAGGTAATTCCTGTAATTATGTCACTCGTACATATCCACATATTGGTTAATTTTTCCTAAGCTGGATAGAAAAGGGTAGAGGGAAGGTTAGGGCTAGTTGTATGTGACTGAATAAGTAACTTAAACATTCTGAGTTTAAGTTCTTGACATGATAAGATAAGGTTAAAATTGTCATATTATCATCATATCCTACAAAAGTATGACTTTGTCTTTACTTTATAACATGGTCTCAGATAACAAAATCTGTAGTACTCACCCTAAAATGGTTGCTACAGGGATAGTTACAGCAGAAGCTAGCTTTGTATATATTAATGATATGTTTGGAACTTTCCCCCAAATCAAAACCACCATGTTTTCCTCCAAAGCATCTCAGTGAAGAATGCTGGGAGGCCGCACAAATATTTTCTCAAAGTAGAGTACTTGTTTGTTTGTTTATACGCTTATTTTTAATTAGAAGCTGGCTATGTTGAACAAAGGAGGAGGAGGGAAGCATAAGGCAGTGGATGTAAGTCAAACCCAAGAGTGCCCAAGATCAAAACCAGAGAAGACAGTTCTGCTTTTAAGATCTAGAGACAAACTCAGGACTTAGACAGAAGACAGAGCTAAGGAGATAAGGAGTCTTGTAAGTGTAGATCCGAAGTTGAATGTATTCATTTGGTATTATGTTTGACTGCGTATAATCCAAACCCAATCACAGAGACTTAGCTAAATGGGAACATGCATTTTCCACAAAACAATCAATAACCCCAGTGTCAGAACCGTAGACATGCAAGTATAGCCTAGTAATAGTACTTGTATCTTTTCACTTTGACATAATTGTTGTTGTGTTAGGTGCTGTCAAGTTGGTTCTGACTCATAGCTACTCTTTATAGGGTTTCTGAGGAGTGGCTGATAGGTTTGAACCATAGATCTTGCAGTCCTCATGGTTAGCAGTCCAGTGCTTAATCTACAGTGCCACATGAATGGTAAATGCATATGTTTGGAAGGAAGAAATTTTGAAACTCAATGGTCTAAATTTTTAATCTCAAGAAACTGGAAGACAGAAGCGCTCATTTCAAAAAGTAGAAGAAAGGAAAAATTGCCAGTGCCTGTAATAAAATGGTAATAGCTCTAAAGAGCCACCAGATAATAAAAGTATGTTGTTGTTGTTGTTATGTGCTGTGGAGTCGGTTCCGACTCATAGCGACCCTGTACAGGGTTTCCGAGGCTGTAAATCTTTAAGGGAGCAGAAAGCCTCATCTTTCTCCTGGAGAACAGCTGGTAGTTTCGAACTGCTGACCTTGTGGTTTGCAGCCCAATTCATAACCACTACGCTACCAGAGCTCCTTAATAAAAGTATAAGAAGATATTATTTTAAATTTGACACCTAATACACCTGACAAGTTAGAGGGAATGGACAAATTCCTAGAAAAATAAAATCTGTTACTGAAACAGACACAAGAAATATAAAATTGTAATAATCCTCTTTCTATTATGGAATTGGAAGCTTTTATTTATAAAATCTTTTTTTTTTTTTAAAAAAGAGCTCCATCCCCAGATGGCTTCACAGGTGAATTCTAAACATTTAAGGAAGCACAAACACTAATATTACATAAACTCTTCAAAACAAAGGAAAAAGTAGGATTAATTCCCAGTTTACTTTACAAGACCAATACAACATCGATACAAAAATCAGACAAGGATTATTTAGGGGGAAAACGACAGGCTAATCTGACTCACCAACACAGATGTAGAATTCTATACAAAATATTAGCAAATCAAATCCAGCAATATAGAAAATAAATAATGCAGTAAAGTCAAGTATATACCAGGAATTCCAAAGTTGTTGTTTTGTTTTGTTTTGTTTTGTTTTGTTTTTTTACTTCCAAGCAGTCAATGTAACTCAGAACATTATCAGAAAGAAAAGGAAAAATTCTTGTGATTAGCTGAATGAATAAAGAAACCCATTTGATGACATTTATAACTCATTATGATTTTTAAAAACTTTTAGAAAGAGGTAATGCAGGCAAAGGGAGTAAGAAATTAGCTAGAAAAACAAAACAATACAAAAAACAACATAAAAGAAATAGAACTAATAAATCAAAATGGTAATCCTCTGAAAAGAAATGAACAAAATAGAAACCAATGTAAGCAAGGAAAAAAAGAAAATAGCACAAATAAATAATGAAAATGTATTGGGAAACAATCATTGAAATAGAAAATATGAGACGATGCAAAATGCTGAACAAATTTATTTGAAAATCTGGAAGAAATAAATAAAATTTTATATGCAATTTAAAATAATTGACACTAATAGAATAAAATGCTGAAATCGACCATTTTCCATAGACAAAATGGAGAAAAATATCAAATAACTAGGTCACTAAAAAGCACCAGGTTCAGATAGTTTTACATAGATGTTTACCAAACTTCAAACATAGTCATGGTGCTACATAACGGGTTCCATAGGATAGGGGAGGAAAAGTCCTAATTTTAAAAGTGAGGTGGGTGAAATATTGATATCTGTACTTGATAAGAGGAGCTCTGGTAGCGTAGTGGTTACGAATCAGACTGCGAACCTCAAGGCCAGCAGTTCGAAACTACCAGCTGTTCTGCGGGAGAAAGATGAGGCGTTCTGCTCCCGTAAAGATTTACAGCCTCGGAAACCCTGTTATAGGATCGCTATGAGTCGGAACCGACTCCACGGCACTTAACAACAACAACATACTTGATAAGATACAGTAGAAAGGAAAATTACAGGCCAATTTCACTTGTGAATGTTGCTGCCATTAACTGTCCTTGAGTTGGTTCTGACTCATATCTACTCTGTATAGGATTTCCAAGATCGACTGATGAGTTTGAACTGCCGAACTTGTGTTTAGCAATCCAATGCTTATGAATAGTTACTTATAAATCTTTAAACAAAAATAAAAAAGCAGAATTCCACAACACATTTAAAAATAATTAATGCACAATGACTGTGTTTGATGCTATAGGATAAGCACTGGACAGCTAACTACAAAGTTGGCAGTTTAAAAACCACCAGCTGCTCCACAGGAGAAAGATGAGGCTTCCTACTTCCGTAAAGATTTATAGCCTCATGAACTCTATTCAAGGTCTCTATGTGTTGGAATCGACTCAATGGCAGTAGATTTTGGATACTGGGTTGACCAGTGTTCCTAAAATTTGTAAATGTGACCTTCTTTGGAAATAGGGTCTTTGAATGTGTAAATACATTTAAGATGAAGTATACTGGATTATTGATGAAGGAGTTCTGGTCACGTAGTGGTTATGAATCAGGCTGCTAACCTCAAGGTCGGCAGTTCAAAACTACCAGCTGTTCTGTGGGAGAAATATGAGGTGTTCTGCTCCCATAAAGATGTGCAGCCTTGGAAACCCTGTGCAGGATCACTGAGTCAGAACCGACTCCACGGTACTTAACAACAATACTACATTAATGTTGTTCGGTGCCTAGAATTGGCAGAATGAAATACTGCCAGTCCTGTGCCACCTTCACCGTTGTTGCTATGTTTGCAGCCGATCCTTGTAACCACTGTGCCAGTTCATCTCCTTGAGGATCTTTTTCTTTCTTCCTTGACCCTCTGCCAAGCAATGCTGTCCCTCTCCAGGGACAGGTCTATCCTGATTACATGTTCAATGTCGATGAAACAAAGTCACCATCTTTGATTCTAAGGGGCTGACTTCTTCCAAAACAGATTTTTAAAATTCTTCTGCAGTCCATGAATATTCTTCATCAATACCATAATTCAAATGTATGAATTATTTTTTAGTCTTCCTTATTTACTGTCCAGCTTCCACATGTATATGAGGCAATTAAAAGACCCTCACAGGTGATGCCATAGCTTAATCCTCAAAGTGACATTTTTGCTTTTTAAAGCTTTTTAAAGGTGATCTTTTGCAATAGATTTTCCCAGTGTAATAGATCATTTG